ATGTTAAGGGTTTTGTGATTGATTTTCGTGGTAGTTGGGAAGATTTTTTGCCGTTTGCTAAGTTTGCTTACAATAATAGTTATCAGGGGAGTATTCGCATGGCACCGTACGAGGCTCTGTATGGACATAGATGTCGTACTCCTATATGTTGGACATAGTTGCATGATAGAAAAACTTTGGGTCCAGACTTGGTTTGAGAGACTGAAGATACTGTTAGATTGATCCATGATCGTTTAAAAGAGGCATTCGATAGGCAAAAATCATACGCAGATAAGCGACGTAAGGATATCGAGTTTGAGGTTGGAGATCAAGTTTTTCTCAAGGTATCCCCATGGAAAAAGGTATTGAGATTTGGACGTAAGTGTAAACTGAGTTTGCGATTTATTGGGTTGTATCGTATTTTGAAGAAAGTTGGACCTATTGCTTATCAGCTTGAGTTGCCTCCCCAACTCAGTCGTATTCATGATGTTTTTCATGTGTCTATGTTGAAGCGATATCGTCCAAATCCAGATCACATCATTCAGGTTGATGAGGTAGAGCTGAGACCTGATTTGTCATATGAGGAAGAGCTTGTTCAGGTTTTAGGGAGGGATGAGCGAGTTCTTCGGAATAGGCGTATTCCAATGGTCAAAGTTCAGTGGAGTAATCGTAGCCCCTCAGAAGCTACTTGGGAGGCATTGGAGTCAATAGAGGCTCAATTTCCTCATATATTTTTATAAGGTAAATTTTGAGGACGAAATTTCTTGTAGAGGGAGAGAATTGTAACAACCCAGAAATTGGAAAAATATTTAATTGAAATTGGAAGAGTTAATTAAGTAAATTGGTGAAAATTAGAGGACTAAATTAAAAGTTTTTAAAATTTATAGCATGTTTTAGAGTTGAGGAAAATTCAAAGACTAAGCCTTGAATTTACCCAAAAAGTATCGGCATACACTATATTAAAAGCTGAATCAGATATGCGTTGGGGGAATTCATAAGCAAAATTGATAAGTTTTTATTTCTTCCAACACCCAACTTCTAACCACGATCCCGACGACGTTCGAATTCCGATCGTCGTTTTGAAACCACCATCATGTTCGTCATCGAGCGAGAAACAAATCCCTTAAATTAATTGAAGTGAAACGCTGCCAAATGCCATGAATTTTAAGTCAAAGTCTCGACGTTTTTTTAGCTCCATCGCCAATAAAATCTTAAAGTCATCGTCGATCGTTGCTCCGTTAACGACACCTCCCGCACCATCGTGTTCCTTGTGCGGTTTCGAGTCTGCCGGTGTTATCCTTGGTCTCTGTCGACGGTGGCGCATGAGGAGGTGAGACGGTCAAAGCTTCCGATTTGTTGAAATCAAGATCTCTGCCGTTCAAAAATTGAAACGAGCTTCGTAAGTACCTCGAAATCACTCAAAATAATTTTTGAAAATTTTTCCGTGAATTATATGACACCGGAGGAGGTCCCACGCTCCCCCATGCGCCGCCACTATGCGTAGGGAAGGCTCGGCCAGTGCTTGAAACCGGTTTGACCGGTTATGACCCGACCCGTTGACCGGATGGTATTTTGGTAATTATTTGGAAAATGGTGGTATTCTGGTAATTATTTTGAAAAGGGTGTTATTTTCATAATTGTTTTTTAAAAATTGATATTTTAGTAATTATTTTGAAAATGGTGATATTTTGGTAATTATTTGAAAATGATGCTATTTTCGTAAAATGGTTTATCATATCTTGACCACCTTTAACCAGAACTTTGACCAGAACTTTGACCGACCATTAAACGGCTGTTAATCTTTCCCGAGTATACATATCCTGACATTTTTCGACATCCCGAATCCGTTTTTGGGATCTGTTTTGCCAAATTCAAACCCGAAGGCCTCCAAATCGTTAGTCAAACCCGTTGACTTTGATTTTGACCAAGAATTCAAATTTTCGAAAAGTCATATTTTATGTTTTTCGACGTTCTGAATCCGATTCCGAAGTCCGTTTTGCAAAATTCTGACCCGAAATTCCCGAATCGAGCTTGTAAAACCAAAAGGCTTAGTATTTTAGCATTTTGATTATTTATTTGAAAGTTGATTAAGGAATAAATTAAATAAAATATTTTATGAAGGTACTCGTGTTTCACCTGAGAGGGGATCAGTTAGGTCCGGTGTTATCCGTTCGTCAAATCAACCCGAACTACGTACTACGAGACTTACCTGTAGGTTTATGTAAATTATTTTTAATAAAAGGTTAAGATTATTTATATTATGATTCTAAATATGGATTTTTCCAATTCGTAGGATCTAGCACTGCAACAGAGCATGATCGACAGACCCAGTAATAGGTTTCCCTATCTGATTTCTCAGACTTTTACAGGTGTGCTTCCTGACAGTGTTATCTTACAGTTTTAAACTATATATCTGAAACTCATTTATAGTTATAGTATTTTTGTACATGATTTCTAAATATGGAATATTTCCATATTTAATGGATTAATTACCGTTTTTACTCCAATGCATACATTTTATTTTTTGTCATTGGGGGTATAATTGAAGGAAGTATTATCAGGTCCCTTTGCTGTGTGCAAAGGTAAGCCTTACAGTTTTCCAGGTCCCTTTGTTGTGTGCAAAGGTAAGACTTACAGTTTCCCAGGTCCCTTTGCTGTGTGCAAAGGTAAGCCTTACAGTTTCCCAGGTCCCTTTGCTGTGTGTGAGGGTAAGCCTTACAGTTTTCCTAGGCTCCTCTGCTTTGTGCACAAGTTAAGCCTTATTGGTGTACATGTGGTGTACGGTTCAGGTGAACCTACACATTTTGGTGATTAGATGGGGGTAGTGAGCATATTATTAAAATGTATTTGATAAATTATTTTTTTTATCTGAATTATTTTTATATGTATGTTTTTATACACTGTTTGAAGTACACTGGACTTTTTAGCTCATTATATAGATTTACCCTTTTTCAGATAACAGCAGACAGTAATCAACAGATTTGGCATCAGGGGAGATCAACTACTTTATTTTGTACGAACGTATATCTCTATATGTTTTTCAGTTGTGTTTGGTGACATTTATTTTTCTATCATGTTGGATATATTTGTATTATCGATATTTTGTTTAGTATTACCTGTAATGTTTTATAAGTTGTTTTAAAAAAATCTCTTTGAATGTGATATGTGACCACTTAGGTTTGAGTCTAACTTATAGACCGGATCTGGGGTTTACAATAAAAAAATGTGATTATTGCCCGACATTCTTTCAGCTTAAGAAGGTTGCAGTGAGAATGAGAATCACTTCAGAACTCTAGGAGAATGGTTGTTTTAGGACAGGAACAATGAAAACTGTCAAAGTTTTATGAGATTTCACGTGAGAAATCAAATATGTTAAATTATATGAACCCTAATTTTTTCCCTTATCTTGATGTAGTTTTTTAATTTATTTTTATCGTTATTGATAATAATTTTTGTGTTAATATTCTACCAATATTTTAAATTATTTATTTATTTATTTTCTCAATTTTCTTTTCCCTTTTTTTATCATTTAACTTTTTTCTTCTTCCTATTTATCTGCATTTGTCAAATATGTTCATAGACGGGTTAAAAAAACAATTGTCTCCTAAAATTTTCAAATTATAATATATTTTAAATATTTTATATAAATAGTTTATTCTCATCTCCTATAATTCAACAAATTTACCTAATAATATAAATCCATACGTGCGTTTATCTCTAAATAAGTTTGTTGTCGTTGTTTTATGCTTAAAACTCCTTTATCCATCTCCTTATTCGTTTTTCTATATAGATGTATTTTTCATGTTAGTGGGTTTACTTATGTTTAGGTGTATTTTATCTACTTATATTAGCAGGATGTTTTCCACATCTGTTAGATTTTAACTCAATTAATTTTTTTTTCCATGCGAAAACAATTAAATTTTAAACCTACTTGAATAATTTTAGGTTAGTTTTGTGTTGTAATATTTGACTCAAATTTTATAATTATAGACATATTATTTCAATTAAATTCATCAAATAGTATTGATAAATTAATAAATAATATAATAATAAAAAACATTTTATACGATAAATTAAACCATTCAATGGGATAAAGATTTTGTGATGTAACTCTATCAAGATGCTTCGTATCCAGTCATCATCAGTTTAATTTGATACTCAACTTTTATATATATATATATATATATATATACATATATATTATTTTTTTACACTTAACAATGAAATCTATCTTTTAAAATTATATAAATATTCTTAAATTTATTTAAATTTATGAAAATGTCCTTATAATTGTTTCCTCAAATTTGTAATATAATTTTTAAATTTTTAATATTTAAATATTTTCATTCAAATCTAAATGATAGAAAGACAAAGAAAAGAGAAAATGAGAGTATTATATATTTTAATTTTACGATGAACAAATAATGAATATGATAAAACATAACCATTTTCTTGTAATTTTGGAAGTTTTAAAGAGATTTTAAAAAATCTAAATCGATAGAATGATACGAAATGACGAGTTAAATTCTTCGATATCTAAAGTAGTAAAAATATTAAAGAAATGTGAGATAAATATTAAACTAAAAATTTAAAATTGTTTGAAAAAAAGATGAAATTAAAAAGAAAATTAAGATGTCTATTATGTTAGCAGAAAAAACAACTCATGTTAGAAAAAATATGACGCGACCATATTATTTTTTTAAGTAAGCATATATGATTCAAAAACAAATAACGGGATTCAAATTTACTTAATGTAGAATAATATAAACATCCTTAATCGCATGATCAATTAATGATCTCACCACCATGTTGTTTTTATTTAAAGTTAGAGTAATAACAAGAAAATAATTAAATTGAAATTTTTAAATTTAATCATCAAGAATATAACCAAAGTTGAATGATGAAAATCATAATTTACCCGTAATTAAATAATTAAAAGAATGCAATAAATGAATTACATTATTCTGCACATTTGCATCCACCTAATGCCTCTCCTTAATTTTCACTCCCATTAAAACACACACACACACCCAAGCCCTTTTTTCAATTTACAGAATCATCACAATAAAACCCAAAAAAAAAAGCTTCTTTTTGTTCGTTCTCCCTCGATTTGAAGACTCTTTCTTTTTGCTAATTCTCAGCGCATAAAGTGACGATCTTTGAGGTGGGTTTTGGCTTTTACATCAATGGAAACCATTTAGATAAGTCAGGTACGTTGTTCTTCCTACAAAAACAACTTTATCTTTTGTTTTTGTTTTTTTTTAATCTCTGGGTTTTTGTTTTTCGGAACATTTAACGAGGCAGAATGATAGAGATGTGATTTTTCTGTTGTACATTACGGGGAATCTGAAACAGACCATCGTTTTGTTAAGAGGATTTGCATTCGATCATGCCGGTTCTTGAGAATACTGTGGCTGTGTCGTCGATCGACTCCCAAGCGGTCAATGATTCTGGTAAATCAAAAACCAGCAGCGATTCCGCGGCTGCTTCTAAGACTACCGAGGAAGCCCGCTTTGAACAAGTCAAACCAGCACAAGCAGCCATAGATGGCGACGACAATAGCAAAACTGAAATGCTAAATGGGTTTAACAATGTGGAAAATGGGGGTAATGGTGAGATTTTCGAGAAAAACATGAGCCATTTGGTTGAAATTTTGTCTAAGCTTAACCCTATGGCTGAGGAATTTGTGCCTCCTTCCCTTGCCAATCATCATAATCTTGATGGTAACCATGATCAGAACCATCATGATAATCACTTTCTGGAAAATGGGTTTGGTTTTATTACTGACAATTTTGCTATGAATGCTAATTCTGGCAATGGATACACTAATAGAAGGGTATGTTAGTTTCATTTTGCAGTGGCATTTTGTGTTTCATTTTGCAGTGGCATTTTGTTTTTGTTTCATATTTGTAGCTTTTTTTGTTGATTCTCTGTTCCTTTTTTTTTCACAGAAGAGGAACAACTTTAGCCAAGTGAAGAGAAGGTTGAGTAATCGAACTAACCTTGCGCAGCAAGAGGACGCGATTAGGAAGACTGTTTATGTATCTGATATTGATCTACAGGTAACATGCTTTAAAATTTATGGTTTTTGCCTCAGTTTACTATAGTGATGTTGTGCTGATTGATTGTGTTTATGGAATAGGTTACTGAGGAGCTTCTTGCTGGTCTCTTTCTGAGTTGCGGACCGGTATTTCTTGTTGCTTTGTCGTATTTAGTAATCAATTTCCGGTTTCTCCGACTTTGTGGTGGTGGATTATTCCCTTAAAAGAACTTTCTGTTATTCCTAAGGTTGTTGATTGTCGTATATGCGGTGACCCTAATTCTGTTCTCCGCTTTGCCTTCATCGAATTTTATAAAGAAGGTACTATGAACGGTTTATACATTTGGTAAGCATTGATAACTGCTTTCCTTTTACAGTTTTAACAATTCAATGTTCTTGCAGAGGGTGCGAAAGCTGCTTTGAATTTGTCTGGAACCATCCTCGGTTACTACCCTCTGAAAGTGATGCCTTCCAAGACCGCCATCGCACCTGTTAACCCAACCTTTTTGCCCAGGGTAAAGCATATATTCTGTGAAAGAACATTTTTCACATTTGTGTGCAAGTTATAGAAACTGAATCAGAGTCATGTTGATATGTGTTTCGTTTTTAATTACATGGCTTCGAATGTTTTGCTCTCTTCAGTCTGAGGATGAGCGGGAGATGTGCGCAAGGACCATTTACTGTACAAACATAGACAAGAAGGTAGTTTCTCATGTCCACTATTTTCTCGAACGCCAATGTGATTGATAACCCTAGCAATAATTCCTGGCTCATTTTTTCAACTGATACAGATTACTCAAGCTGATGTCAAGCTCTTCTTTGAATCACTATGTGGGGAGGTCTGTAGTTTCTCATGCGGCATGCCTTATAAATGCTGCTTATCTTATAAATGTTGCATATAACAATTTCTTACTGAATTTTTTGTTCTATGGTAAGGTTCACCGCTTGAGACTATTGGGAGACTATCATCATTCAACTCGCATTGCTTTTGTCGAGTTCACAATGGTAGTTACTCTCTTACTATCTTTATTTATTGAAACTCTTGCAACATATGTTTTATGGTATCGTGTTGAATTATCCGTATTGTCCTTTCTAGTTACATCAAGTAACGTTCTAAAACCTATTTGGGAAACCTCATTTTATCAACAAATCTTTTGGCATCTTCTGCCCCTAAATTGTCATAACATGAATAATTTCCACAAATATTGCTTGAGAAATGTAACTGCCAAAATAAATCGTATACTCTTCTGCGGATATATGCTTTGTCATCTTATGATTTTCCATTAAATGACAAGCTGAAACTTGTTTGATGGTGTGTCATTGTGTCTTATATTGTCGACTTTATTTGTTGATCAGTAAATTTACGATGATCTTTTATGTTTTATTTTTCATCTCATGCAGGCTGAAAGTGCGATCGCAGCCCTCAACTGCAGTGGTGTGGTTTTGGGATCACTGCCCATAAGGTCGGTTTACGAAACTTTTTCTCTTCGAGTTTATACACAGATGCATTGGGTTGTGAAATTCTATTTTCCCCAAATTTTATAGGAATATTTGCCTTTTGCATGTGCAGGGTAAGCCCATCAAAGACACCTGTTCGTCCCCGTGCTCCTCGCCTTGCAATGCACTAAATCACCCGTGCTCCTCGCCTTGCAATGCGCTAAATCACCCATGCTCCTTTCTCTATTCGGGACTTATCAACTGCCAATATATTTACATATACATGCATACATAGAGCAGTACATTCGAGGTACTTTTGGTGTCAAATGTTATCTTCTCCGTGCATTGTAGTTACTTTTGTAGGGGTTAATCGTGGTTGGTACCTTTTAGCTCGTTAACGAGGTTTTGACAGACATGAATGTTAATTTATGGTTCATGTTTCAATGGATTCTCTAAGGATGATATCCCTAAACACAGATTGCAAGGGCGTATCTAACAACTAGTAAATGTTAAATAGACTCTCTCTAGTGTTCTTCATCGATTCTCTCTAAGGTGAGAGTGTTGGATAAGAGTACGTACCTGATATGAGTATGTATAATCTTCTTGATCTTTTTTTTTTCAATTTAGTTGGAAGGTTTAAGGAGAGTCATGTTTTTATACCCCATGTATGTCTCGGGTACCGTGTCTGTCTTGAGTGCGAGTTGGAACAACTTAGTGGTATACTAGCAGTAATAGTAGCATCAGATCTGTTCAAAAGTCGAGCTACTCGGTTTTAGCCGATAAACCAATAGGCCGGGGGTCTACCGTTTAGCCTGCAACCCTTTTCTTCCTTCTTTGGTTAAAAGATTTTTGCTGTATGACGGGATCGGACTTCTATACGGGGACCAAAACCGTCGTGACGATGCGTTTAGATGAATTCTTTTATATATATATTAATTCCGGTAATTATCGGGTCTAACGATGTGAAGATTTCGAGGGAAGGACACGTGTGTACTTACGTAATGGTGACCCTTCAACAACCTCAATGAAACATCCACATTCCATGTCTATTTAAAGTCATAAAAGAACAATGAAAATGGGGGGGGGGGGGACACAGTTGAGCCTTGGACTATATGACTTGAAACTCTTATCCTTTGAAAACGAAACATCAATACAGAAAACCAAACAGATTATTGTTATTTATTAATTCTTAATGCATGGGATAAGACATCTTTGTTAGCTAATTTGTCTTAAGCCGATTTGCTTTATTGTGTCGTTGATTTAACCTTTGGATAATAATAATAAATAAATAAAATCTTGTTTTGTCGAATATCAGGCCAACCCACAGAGTTTATCCTAATGTTTTGCTCACTGATCGGTTTGATTTTTGTATCTATTTTCTCAGGGAACTGTATGTTTATTTTTTTAATTATTTATAAGAAGAAATATTTTGAAAATTTTATCTCTTCTCATTGTTTCAAACATTTGATGATTGTATTAAAGAAATGAACAATCATAGAAAAGGTGGAGTTATATCTATCCATGAATGGGACAAATATAACTACCCTTTTGGCCACTTGGACTCTTTATGAGCCAGACAGGTATGGCATAAAAATCCATAATTATCTGCCGATTTTTCGTCGTATTTTTTTCATGTATAAATTATACACAAAATGTCACGAGACTTTTGTTCTAAAATAATAAAACTATGTACAAGTCCCTCAAAAAATAATAAAATTATTTTTTTTCTTTTAAAATAATTAAATTGTATAAACTCTTAAAAAATTGAAATAATGTTTTAATTTTTTTTGTCTATAAAAAATTTCTGACTTGGCTCCTTCGTGGAATCTTCTTCCCGACTCATTCGTTTGTTTCTGCAAGTGTGTGGTACTAACTGTAGGGTGACATTCTATATACAGCAAATGCATGCATCCAACCATGCCAAAATGCTAATCGCTTTTCTTTAGCTCAGAGATATTTTAAAAACTTTTTTCTCTTCTACAGGATCAAGAAAATTAATATATTTTTTTTAATTTCAACGAATAAATATATATATCAATTAGATTTATTAGACGTTTCATTCATCATCATTCAATTATTAAATCTATAATTTTAGAAATAAGCCTCCGCCAAACAAAAGAAAGTTTCTTTCCTCGTACTCAAAGGTCTATATTTCCCTTCTTCTTTGAGGGTTTATCTTGAGTCTATTATTATTATTATGTATAATTTCTTATATATAAATCAGAATGAATAAACCGTCTTTGATATGCATCAACATTATAATTAAAAGAATTAAAATCGTCAAAAGAAAAAAAGACAGTAAGAAGGCGTTGGGAGTTTAGAAATGAAACAAGAATGATGTCCACAAGGCATGGGAAAGAAGATGTGATACGATAAGTATAAGCATTATTGGTTCATAGAATCCATTAATCTAAAGTCTCAATCACTTGAAACCTGCCAAACGTAGCAGTTCCGATCGGGGAGCACAACGCCCCCACCAATTTAGTAAAATTGCAGTTTAATCCCATAAAATCATAAATCAACACACTTGTAAAATGTTATTTTGACCCTCTTAAAAGTTTATAATTCAATTTAGTCCTTTTAATTATAAAATAAAAAAAATTCAAGCTCCATCCTCGTTCCAAACATGTCCAACTATATATTTAAGCTCGCCACCACCACCCCTACTATAATTCTCTAATATCAAACATATTTATCCCAAACAACTCCATTAATGGAGCTTAGAGAAGATTTTCCACCACCAGACGAAGCATTATCAAAACAGTGCCAAGAACATCAAACTAAACGGAAGAGAAAGAACCATAGCAGCAGCAGCAAGATGACGATGAAGAACAAGAAGAGGTTTACTGATGAACAAATAAGGTTACTGGAGTCGATTTTCGAGTCGGAGACTAGATTAGAACCGAGGAAAAAGTTGCAGGTGGCAAGGGAGTTGGGTCTACAGCCACGGCAGGTGGCCATATGGTTTCAAAACAGGCGAGCGAGGCTGAAGTCTAAACAGATAGAGAAAGATTACATAAAGTTAAGAGATAAATACGATAATATGGCTTCCAGATTCGAGTCTTTGAAGGACGAAAAGAAGTGTTTAGTTTCCCAGGTATATATATATATACACACCATTGTTCTTCCTCACTGTGAACAATTACTTATAAAAAATATGATATGAATGAATCATATGCGCGTGTTTGTTTCTCATAGTTGGAGAAGCTAAGTGAAATGTTGGTCGAAACCCATGGTGGAAACAAGGTCAGCAAGGTGGGTCTTGAAGCTGAAGCTGAGCCAATTCTCCAACAGGCAGCAATGGAAGAAAACGATGTGTTATTTGGGTTAGAAGAATTTATGAAGATGGATGAACACAGATCATTCCCGGTTTCACCTGAGAAACCCCACGGATTTGATTCGGCTGCCGATGGTCGTTTGCAGTGGTTGAACTTTTGGACTTGAAAATACTTTTTGTGCCATCACAGCCGAGAATTAATCAGGGAACTGAGACAGCAACCTGAAGGAAAGGACATGAGAGAAGTGGCCATTGACGACGGTTGCATGCCCTGATCTTCATGTCACAAGCAAGACTCGGCCACCTCTTCTTAATATTTTCCGTGTTTGATCTCCATGATGTTAAAAAAGACTGCAGTGGGCTGTTTCCAGTTGTAAACCATAGATAACTCTTTTTTTCTAGTTTCTTTTTAGGTTATGGTATTAATAGATGAACATATGGTTACTTTAAAATAAGCTATGGAATTTCTCCAGAATCCAGTAGTACACCTGGTGATGCTTTTGAAAAATAGTCAAATTCTATTCTTAGTTGGAGAATACGATTTTGTATTCATAGTGTTCGAACTCAAGATCTCAAAAAATAATAATAATTCTTTAATTATTGAGGTCGTTTGATTCGTATGCATTTTTCAAATTTTAAATTATAACTTAAAAGAAGTGTAAAAGTTATATGATTAAAATATAAATATAAATAATGATTAAATAGATAATGAAATTTAAATTTATACAAAAAAATAAAGATCGATGAAAATTTATGTCAAAATTTAAAAGATATATAAATTTAAAATAATCAAATTATAATATAAGGACTAAACTAATAACTTATACGTATTATAATGATTAACAGAAGAATTTGACATAAAAAAACGAAGATCAAATGCATGCCTTCTCTCATAATTAACATCCCGTTCATGAGGTTTGACCTTCGAAAATGAACAAATGAGTGGATGAAATAATCATTCAAAACCAAACAATCATATTTTATTATTTTTTAAAATGAGTTCCACTATTAATAATTTCATACTATATTTAAATTTGAGTTAGATCCAATTTTTAATTTAGGATAGAGTACACAAATAATCTTTTAATTATACAGTATTGTTTTATTGAGTTCATAAACTATTAAAAATTATCAAATGGTCTCAAGATTATAAAATATTATTTTGTTGAGTCCCATGATTATTAAAAGTTACAAAATGGTCACGTGATTATTCATATGTGTTAAACTTGTCATTTTTCATTAAAAATTGACGATCGTCTGAGCTAGAATTTAACTTGTTGATTGAGATATGATAAAATCATATTTTAGTGATGTATATTGGTATTGTCGTTGCTTTCAAGCACTGGCACGATAGCATAATGTTTCAAGCATTGACGAACGACATAATGTAAACAGAGAGTCGATACACAAAATACATCTCAATGGTTATGGAATCAAATTTTGGCATATCCTAGTCAACAAGTTAACGTTCAGCTTAGACAGTCGCCAATTTTTTATCTGAAATGACGATTTTGGAACATATGAATAGTGGGGCGATCATTGTGTAACTTTTAATAGTCGGAGAATTCAAGAAAGTAGCGTCTTATAGTTGAGAGACTATTTTGTAACTTTTAATAGTCAATGAACTCAACAAAACAATTCCCTATAGACGGGAGCATTTGCGCACTTTATCCTTTAATTTAAAACAAAAAACATATCAATTATGCTTTTTAAATTAATGAGATTCAGTTTTATTTGAAAAAATAAATTGCTTATCGAGGATGATTAAAATATCTGAGTTTGAAGAGTAAAAATTCGGGACAGATTAAGACTAGATTTTGAAAGAGAGTTAAGAATAACAAATTTGATTTAACTCGAATAATTATATATAACATTCTATGTATATTTTATTTTTCTTCTTATCTTATAAAAAAATATTCATGTTGAATTAGGTTAGATTGGGAACAAAATTTAGTCTAAAATTAGAGATAAATTGATACAAATGAATGATCATCAAAAGTCGAAACGAGTTAAAATCATATTAAAAAAATTGTTTTTAAATAAAGAAGGAGATGAGCAGAAAAATAAAGCTGACCCATTTGATACTCATATGCATGCTTATCACTCGAGCCAACAAGTGTGTAGCGATATTGAATTTAGGCTGGGTGAGAAAAGGAAGTAAGGTTTTGTTGAAAAGATGAGGTCATAAAGTAATTGCTTAGACGAGTGAAAGAAACTCCATAAAGAGCGAAAGGTTGAACACAACACGTTATTCTCACCTAACCATCAAATACTTATTAACAGACATTGACACCCTAAAAGAAAGTGTACACTTGGTTTTTCACCCACAATTGGATCTCTAACTTACTCGTAAGAATCTATATTATACGGTATCATCCAAATATCTTGTTTGACGAACAACACCACGACAGTTTGGCCGAGTGGTCTAAGGCGCCAGATTTAGGCTCTGGTCCGAAAGGGCGTGGGTTCAAATCCCACAGCTGTCACGTTTTCTTTTTCAAATTCCATTGCATCAGTGTGAGCATGTATCCAATCTTCTTTGTTTAATGCAAACAGAACCGTTAATTTTATTAAAATTTAAAAATATCTATTATAATTAAGTTTTTAAACTAAATATATAATTAGAATATATTTTTCTTAAATTATTAATATAATAAATTAGTCACTCGGGATTATTCAAGGTCGATACAAGGAAAATGTTAAAATTATCAAAGAAACTCGAACAAAAGAGAAATACATATAAATCCAATTGCATCGATAAACGAACTACAACGGTAGATTAAACTATTGATAGACCACGACAACCACAAATCAAAATCGAGCATCGTTAGAAAACTATCTATAAACGCGAACCGTATACACAAGTCCAATATGAGGGTCACAAGTAGGAAAGATCGACATAATAACAAATAAGTATCATCTTAATCAGTTGAGACGATGTCGAATCTAACCCTGAAAAAATGGTCAAAACGACCAGAAACATACCATGAAGACAGAAAAAAATGTGTTAGAAAAACATACAACAAAAACAAAATTATTAGAAAGAAAAAAAATATGCATATAGAAAAGTAAATGAAAAACAATGAACATAAACAATCAGCTACTAATACCAAAACTAACGTTGTCGCTGTCAAAATAAATGGAAAAAAAAAGCGGCGGCTAAATGGAGAGAAAAAACGCCTAGGGTTTCTGCATGTATCCAAATCTTAACTAAGGGTATAATAATACGTGTTAGGATTAATATAGATTGTTAGTGAATCCAATGATGTCATGTCGTATTTTATAATAATTAAACTAAAACAAGCATACAATTCATAAAGTATTTAATATATTTATATAAATTTATCATATTCTATATGATAATTTATATTTTAGTTAGCATTTTCATGTCTTGTTTATTAATAAATGGGACCATTGTTGGTTTACATTTGATGACAGTCCAAGTGTCCGTACTTCTAATATTTTATACTTGCATAAATTAATACAAGAACAGAATTCATTTTTATTTAAATTTTAATTTCGTGTTTTTTATTAAACGGAGCCTTAGCCGGTTTTATCGGTGCTTTTCTGAATGTACCATTTGGAGTACCCAAAAAGCTCCGTGGAAGGTACAGAAGAACATACACCACAAGAGTTTCGAACTAAACGATATCGAAGCTAACTTTAAGATAAGATGTCTGTTATTAGAACAATAGTTTCCAACCAGAAACCTAATAATAAAAGTAGGATCCCTTCACCCAGATATGCAATCTACTTGATCTTCTTCTTTGGCCTCAACTGTCAACGCCGATAAATAACACATGTCAATTAGTCGCAACGAAAAAGCACAAATGCAGATGAAGTTTATCATATACAATCTTATGTGGTAGCATCTTCACATATACCGAACGAAATGATAAAACCGGCATGGATGATTTACCTGATTGCTGTGTCCGCACTTCTTTTTCCTGCAGTTCACAGCTTGGGGGTACAGACGAGCATAACACCTACAGCAAAAACTTCAATGGTAAGATTTTCAGCAAAGATTCCGAGTTCTGAATGCAAGTCCAAGTTATAAAAGGCAATGAAAAAGAACGTAATTTCATTCGTAACAATGCGGTATGCTTTGGGGCATGTAGAAGAATTTGGATACTTCAACAACCAGCAAGATGCGGGAATGTCGAAAAAGGGAGGATCTAAATCTAAGTAGATGCATGCACAGTATATATTATAGCTATAATACCGGACTAGAGAAGTGTCGGATAAAAGTATAGTTATAACATAGGTATGTCATACACGAGTAAATTAGAAACAATTGAACTCCAGATACATAACATGATGGTGCTTCCAATAACAACTCATTGCAAATGAAGTTTGTAAACTAAGATTATTAAACAAGCAATCATATAAACAATAAGAAAGTGCCGACATACTTGCGGCAGATCATCTTGTCGTGGTTGTACTTACGGGCCAATGCCATCAAAGAAGGCTCGATAGTGCCATCACGAAGTCTCAGAACCAGATGCAGGGTTGATTCTGCACAATTCCATACAAACAAACAATTAAATCAAACTAATATAAACGTGCGATAGGAAACCAAATCAGTCCAGGCTTTTAAATTCAACAAAGTTTATGAAGCAATACTTGAATAGTTTGATTACTATAAATTGTACTCCGCTACTTGAATCATTTTCCCAATAAGATAATACCACTTACTCATGCTCATGGCTGTGATTCAATATTCAATACGGAACAAAGTAAAACGAAGTGCAGTGCTTATTATGGCAAACTTTCTCGAGAACCAAAGAGGGACTAGAATCAACGATGATTACCTTTCTGAATGTTGTAGTCAGCAAGAGTACGGCCGTCTTCAAGCTGCTTTCCGGCGAAGATCAATCTCTGCTGGTCCGGTGGAATACCCGAAACCATTTCACCGGAAAATCCAAGGCATCAAAATCCACATGATCAGTAATTATAAGCAAACTGATTTCAATCTTCAAGCGAGGAGTATACCTTCCTTATCCTGGATCTTGGCCTTAAAATTGTCGATGGTGTCGCTGGTTTCGACCTCTAGGGTTATGGTTTGCCCTGTAAGGTTTTTCACGAATATCTGCATTTTCCCTAGCCCCGACTTCAGATTCGGAATCTGTATGACAAACCTTCCAATTCTAAATCTATTCAACAAATATAGTGATGGCCTGATTAGGGTTCTTAGTGGATTACTTTTAAGAATTGGGTTTGGGGCTTTTGTGGCACTAAAGAATACGAGGAAAAATATTAGACCCAAAATGGTCAATAACGGTTCGGTCGGTACGATCGGTATATTAAAAATAATTTATTTAATATCTATAAAGGTTTAGGAATCAAAACAATGATATTATATTAAAATAAAAATCTGGAGTAAATAAAATTTAATATATATAAATTCGAAACTCATAAATATCTATATTTGATAAAACCAAAATATAATTAGAATGAAAACTATTAACTCATATCAATTATGTAAAAAAAAAAAATCAGATGCAAACATGAAAACATATTGAAATCTATTGTTGAAAATTATTTATAAAATTTTGATTTTCTAAGAATATATGTTTATTTTTTGGTCGTAGATCTCTTGATGAGATGAAATGAAGTAGAAGTTAAACCATCCATCATATATTATTATTTCTTTATATAATTGATCATTGAATCACGTTTTAAATAATAATAATTCAATATTTTGTTGAATTATAAATACAAATTACAATATTTATACATTTTTCATAATACTATAATAATCATTACATAAATTGATCACTTAATTTTATATTATATTTTATAATAATAATATACATTACAAATATTTATTCATAATTAAAAGTTTTAATATAATATATATGACTTTAATTCAATTAATACCATAGATAAATATTTTATTATCGAATTAATCCGGACAATAACTAATTTAAATCTTAATGATAATAAATATTTATAAAACAACCAATCAGGGTTCAATATTTTCGAATATTATTCGATAAATAGAAAGATTTAACTCAAACTTAGAGGATGTATTTTAATTAATTTGGTTGATGAATGGAAAGCACTGATTTTCCTTTTTGCTTTGCAATTTTGGGACAAAATCATGATGAATGTCTAAAATCAATCTGATTTCGACTATATATTTGACCACTTTCACGTCTGAAAAAAAGAAGGTTTCAACTTTCCGCAACCAGCTTCATCAATGCTTATCCACAGTTTTTGCTACTAACTTGAATTCTACGCCAAGACTTTTTTTTCAATACCAGTTAGGAAAAGTCTTACTTGTGATAGTTTAATATACGATTAAAAAAATGTGTTATTGGAAATATTATTTTTTTTTAATATTTTTGGTAAAAATTTACTTAAAACATTATTATTTCTACTGAAAATGTTATTATTGGTGTTTTACGGATTCGTTAATATATTTAATAAAGTGTTACTTAAAATATTATTTTTTCTATCGGAAATATTAATATTAAACACTTTACCGGAAATATTAAAAAAACATTAATGCTTTAGGAAAAAATAAAAATATTTTAAGAAATTTTTTTACCAAAATGCTAAAAAATAATAATATTTTCGATAATATTTTTCCTTAACATATATTAAGGCTGCCGTACAGTATAACTTACCCAACTATAGACTTTCTTTCTTTCTTTTTTGATTTGCAGGTTCTTTCTTCATTTGCTTATCAACGAGTTTAATGGGAAATGATGTAGTATTATAGTAGTGTAATTAATTACTGATTTAGTATTATTTTTCAAAATCATAGTGTCAATATATATTTAAAAGATAAATAATTATTTTAGATAATATTGTAAGTTAAAAATATATATATATAAATATATTTTTCTTGGCAAAATAACTCATTCTATTTCAACTTACTCTTCATTCAATTTAGTTATTGTTTATTTTTTGATTTATTAAATATGATTATTTGATGTGATTTAAAAAGTATACTAGAGAGATCGTTGATAACTACACACAATCTCAATGAAATTGTCGATTTTCATAATAATTTTTTAAACTATAATAAATAACGACTTTGATAAAATTATATTGATCTAACAATGATTTTAAACATAGTTTATTTTAGTCTTAATATAAAAATTAGTGTCCAAATTATACTATTTTTTCATTTAAGTTTCTAAATTAATTTTAGGTCAATTTCAATAACTAACGTTTCTAACGTTATATTTTCATATGCTTAGACTGTCACTACCGTTATATTATACTGTTAAATACATGCGTTATTTTTATAAAATTTTAAAAAATATATTTAAATTTAAAAAAGCTTAAAATTATAATTTTTAAAGAAAATTTTAAAACCTTATAAAACTATAAAAATAAAAACATTTTAAAACTCTAATTTCAATCTCTTGTTCATCGTTGGTCGCCACCAACGTCGTTAATTGATCGAACACCCAATCACTTATAACCGACCAACAACCCAACGGTCAAAATTCCTTACTTTCGCAATCGATCGAACACCCGACAATCGTGTAAATGCAAGATTTTATGATTGTCAATTTTCACCGTGATTTAGGGTTATTTTAAAAATAATATTTTTAAATGTTTGTTTTAAATAAAATTCAGGGTAAAGTATATAAATAGTCTCCAAACTTGTAGGGCGCTCGTATTTTGGTCACCCAATTTTTAATCATTTGTAGTAAGGTCTCTGTCGTAACCATTTGCTGACGTGGCACTTGATTACCGTTAACCCCTTCATTCTTCTTCTTCGTTTTCTTCTTATTATCCCGTTCACCCCACCTTTGTCACTAATGTCGCCTCCTAACCACACCGACCCTCGATTCATACTCATCGTCCCCCGTTTGTGCCAAAATTGTGAGAAAATCGTTTGAACACCCATCCTTAATCTTTATCGTTAGTCGTCGATGATCGTCACCGTCGGTACCAGTAGGAGCACCACCCCATTTCGACCAAAACCTCGCTAGCCACTTGCTAATACCTACCTTCGTTCGCCGTGAAGAGGGTCCTAAATCTCGTGAGAAAACCCTAAATTCCCTTGTATATTTAGATTAATTTCCACATGATAGGGTTGTTCATTCGCCACACCACCGCCACCGTTGAAGTCCTCAGATCGTTCCGAACAAAACCCATTTGGTTGTGGCTCATTGTCGTCGTCCCTCCTCCGTATAAGCGAAGAAGAAGAAGGCGGATGACGAGGATGAGAAGGAGAAGGATAAGAGGGTTAATGGCAGTTAAGTGTCACATCAGTAAAACCTAACGGGAGAGTACGACAGTGATCTTATTAAAAACGATTAAAAGTTTGATGGTTGTATTGTAAGTTTTAAAAGTTTGATGACCAGAATGCAAACACCCTAAAAATTTATATACTATTTATATACTTTACCCTAAAATTTATCAAGAGGTGCGTGTTATTTAACAAAGGAATTTAATGATTATGATGATTCAGACATCACAAAATGTAACGTTAAAAATGATAAAAACATTAATAGATCAAAAAATAATTTAGATATCTAAATGAGAAAAAATATAATTTAGACTCTTATTTTTATATTAAATATTTATTTTATTAAATAAGTTTCATACATTTATTCTTAATATATATATATATTATTAAATTAACCCCACTTTTATGTTAGTACTTAAATTTCAAATTTCGCTTAGGTTTCAATATGCAATATTTGCATCATTTATTTTGAAATCTCCCTCTCTGACTAAAAAGCTATAGAGAGCAGCATAGAGAGAGAGAGAGAGAGACTGAAGCAAAAGACTTCCTAAAGCAGTTGGCTTTTTAAAGGGGGAATTGATCGATAAGCAAAAGATAAGGAAGGAGGGTAGCTTGGTCATCTCTCTGTTTGGGCTTCGTCGGCCTCATGGTACCTTCAGGCAACGCCAGTCATTTCAGAATCCGCCACTTCGGCGGCATTGGATACGGCGGATTCTGGTCTGCTGTGGCGTCGCCGACCTCCGAAGCTGTAGTTGTCTTCACCGTCCTTGCTGGTAACCCTCTCTTATGTCCCGATTTCTACACAGGCAGCACTAGGTGAAAAATTGATTTTGCAAAATTGATCGATCGTTTCAATGCTAACGGTAAAAAAGAATATCAGAAAACCCTAGTAACGACACGTAGAGAGTGTAGTTGATTTAAAAGGAAAAAAACCACAGATTGTAATAAATGAAAGCTCTTAGACGAAGTCAGACTGCTTCGTCTTCATCCACAAGCTCGCCTTCGTCGTCATCGTCATCGCCGTGGATTCATTTGCGTTCGGTTCTTTTCGTTGTTACTTCTTCTTCACCGGCTTCTTGTTCTTCCGCTGATAGGTAACTCTTCTTCCTCAAATACTTGATCTTTTGTTAGATTCTCGTTTCAGATCTCGATCTCATTGCTTTGCTTGTATTTAAATTCTTTCTAGTTCCGTTTTTGAAATTTATTTTAAATTAATGGGGTTTCCGCTTCTTATTTCCTAGAGTTTCCAGTCATTTATTGCTCCATTTTTTGCTCGTTTACTTCAAACTTCTGACATTTACTTTACTTATTTGCTGGATCTGTGATTCCGTGTTAATGTGCCTTGGCCAATTAATTTGCTTTTTCTTTTTAGTCTGACTTTTGCTGCTTTTAGATTGATTCAATCTGCTAGGATATTGCTCATTACTATGTTAATAGACATTTTTCAAGTTGCAATTTGTGAATATGAAGACTCCAAAATCAGTTGGAAAAGAGAGATTCTTGAGGAAAATCTTATCTTATGATGTGAAATCAGATTTGCTGCTGGAATTCCTATGTTTATAATAACATATTAGTTTATCACTATCATTAGCTTCTCATTTCCCATATGTAAATTCACCTCCCTCCTTTTCAGTGATCGACTCAAATCACCTTGGTCTGGCCGGAGAAAGAAACATGCCCTTTCACCTCAGCAGTGGAGAAGTTTGTTTACCCCGGATGGTAGACTCCGAAATGGTGGGGTTAATTTCTTGAAAAAAGTTCGCAGTAGAGTGAGTTATTGATGCCAGTAACCTATTAATCTTCTCTTCTATTTGTTTAGTCATAATTTGGTGAATGCTTAATCTTGTAAACTGCTGATGTAGGGTGTTGATCCAAGTATCAGGGCTGAGGTCTGGCCGTTTCTCCTTGGAGTGTAAGTATACTGAGCCTATGTTGC